GTGAAGTTCTCATATTGTGTTTTTCAGCTCCTTTAATTCATTCATATTCCTCTCTAAGGTATCCATTCTTGTTATCATTTCCTCGAATCTTTTTTCAAATCTTTTTTCAAGGTTCTTAGTTTCTTTGCATTGATTTAATACATGATCTTTTAGCTCACAAAAGTTTCTCATTACCCATCTTCTGAAGTCTAATTCCGTCATTTCGTCACAGTCATTCTCTGTCCAGCTTTGCTCCCTTGCTGGTGAGGAGTTTTGGTCCTTTCTAGGAGGTGAGGTGTTCTGGTTTTGGGTGTTTTCCTCCTTTTTGCGCTGGTTTCTTCCCATCTTTGTGGATTTGTCCGCTGGTCGTCTGCGTAGTTGCTGACTTTTCGTTTGGGTCTCTGAGTGGACACCCAGAATGTTGATGATGAAGTATTTCTGTTGCTTGGTTTTCCTTCTACCAGTCTAGCCCCTTCGCTGTACGACTTCTGAGGTCCGCTACAGACCCTGCTTGTCTGGGGTGCACCTCTAGTAGCCGTGGCACAGCGAGGGATGCTACCAGTTTCTTTTTCTGCTCTCTTTGTCCCAGGATGATGCCTGCCTAATGTCAGTCTTTTGGATATAGAGGGGTCAGGGAGCTGCTTGAGGAGACAGTTTGTACTTTATAGGGGTTTAATTGCTGAGTTGTGCACTCTGTTGTTCATTCAGGGCTGTTAGGCTGCTATGTTTTATTCTGCTGCAACAGAGCTCATTAAAAAACCCTTTTTTTTTTTTTCTCAAATGCTCTGTGTTGAGGGGTTTGGGCTTTATTTTTGGATGTCCGATCAGGTGTCCTGCCCAGCTAGAAGGCCGACTAGCCACTGTTTGGCTGCCGAGGCTCCGCCCTGCTGTTGTGTGATTCGCGCTGTTCCTGCCGGCTCTGCTGTGGTCTCCGCCACGCCCTGCGGCGGAGTCTCTTCATTGTAGCGTGTTGCCTCAGCAAGGCAGGCTGCGTCAGCAGTGGGCGTGTATCTCAGTAGGGACGGGTTGCCTCGGCAACGGCTGGCTGCATCAGCAGTGGGCGTGTATCTCAGTTGGGGCGGGTTGCCTCGGCAACGGCTGGCTGCGTCAGCAGTGGGTGTATATCTCAGTTGGGGCGGGTTGCCTCGGTAACGGCTGGCTGCGTCAGCAGTGGGCGTGTATCTCAGTTGGGGCGGGTTGCCTCAGTAGTGGTGGACGCCCCTCCCCCACAGAGCGTCTCCGACCGTCTGCTCGGGATAGTTTGAAATCGCGGTTTTGTTCGTCCCACTGGGTATCACAATCCCTGCAATCCCCTGGGCTGGCCTATTGTCCAAGTCTCATTCAGTCTCAAGTCCAGCCCTCTCAAGTCTCAGGTTGCCGGTTCAACAGGACACCCGGACAAGCGCGCCCTGTGGGGATTGCTGGGTAGGGCCGGCCACCGCCGCCCCGGCTGCTGGCTTTGCCAGGCAGACCTACTGCCTGGCGTCCCATGTCTTTTTTATACTTGGGAGTTTCCCTGTTCTGTGGGCAACAAAGATCAGTCTGGAAATGCCGCTCTGACTCACCGTTTGCAGATTCAATGAGAAGAGCTCCAATCCTGGGTTGTTCTCACAGCGCCATCTTGAGTCCTCCCCCTCCTTCCTTTTTAAGGATGAATAGTATTCCTTTTTGTGCATGTATCACATTTTGTTTATCTACTTGTTTGTTGATAAACACTTGGATTGCTTCTACCTTTTGACTATGTGAATAATACTGCTATGAACATAGATGTACAAGTGTCTGTTTGAGTCCTTGCTTTCAATTCTTTAGGGTATATACCCAGAAGGGAATCATTGTATTCTTTGTGAATTCCATGTTAATGAGGAACCACCTACTGCTTTCCTCATTGACTGCATCATTTCCATTCTCACCTACAGTAGATACCGGTTCCAATTTATCTGCATCCTTGCCAGCCCTTGTTATTTTCTGGTTTTTGTTGTTGTTGTTTGTTTGTTTGTTTTTGAGATGGATTCTCCCTCTGTCACCTGTCACCAGGCTAGAGTGCAGTGGTGCAATCTTGGCTCACTGTAACCTCCACCACCAGGGTTCAAGTGATTCTCCTGCGTCAGTTTTCTAAGGAACTGGAACTACAGGTGGGCATCACCAGGCACAGCTAATTATTGTATTTTTAGTAGAGATTGGGTTTCACCATGTTGACCAGGATGGTCTTGTATATGCTAATGTAAGGGTTCAACTTTATTGTTTTGCATGTGTATATTCCATTTCTCCAACAGCATTTGTTGAAAGACTGTACCTTCCCCATTGAATGGTCTTGACAGGTTTGCTAACAAACATTTCACCACATAAATGAAAGTTTGTTTCTAGGATCTCCATTCTATTACATTTGTCTACATGTCTGTTTCTAAGTCAGTATCACATTGTTTTGATTACTGTATGCTTCGAAGTAAATTTCAAATGAAGCACTTTTGCATATTGTTTTACTCCTTCAAAAAATAAAAAACCTTGAAAAGGGTTCTTTTTCTTTTAGTAAGAAAATTGAGGCTCAGAAGAATAAATAACTTGCCAAGGTCAAACTAGAAAATGGTAAATTCTGGAATCTATTCCAGGAACATCTGGTTCCAAATTTCATGCTTTTTTTAACTAACAATATAATCCTGTGTAAACTTTAGGATGATACTTAGCTTCTGCATCTTCAGTAAATTCATCTCTACAATGGCATGTTAAACCTAGCTATATAAAAACATCAGTTAAAACTAGGTGACTTTTTATATTCATTTAGGTGTTTTATTTCTAGACATGCTTGAAATCTCATTATTTTTAAAAATGCACTAATAGTTCTAAAAGTTAAATTTATTTTTTAAATTTTTACTGTTTTTTCTTTATTTTTAATTAACAAAAATTGTATATACGGTATACAACATAATCTTTTGAAATACATATGTGAAATGGTTAAATTAAGCTAATATATGCATTATCTTATGTATTTATTTGTGGTACGAACACTTAAAATCTACTCTTTTAGCAGTTTTCAATGTACAAAATATTGTTATTCATTAAAAGCACCATATTTTACAATAAATCTCCTGAACTCATTCTTATGTCTAACTAAAATTTTATATCTTTTGACCATGACCATCATTTTCTCCAATTACTCCTCAAATTCCCCGGAGCCTTGTAATCACCATTCTACTCTTTGTTTTTATGAATTCAACTTTCTTAGATTCTGCATTAGTGAGAACATATAGTGTTTATCTCTCTGTATCTGGCTTATTTCACTTAACGTAATATCCTCCAGACTCATCCATGTTGTCACAAACAACAGGATTTCCTACATTTTAAAAACTGAATAGTATTTCATTTTGTATAAATACTGCATTTCCAGAAACCTCCCTAGTGGGTATATATCCAAAGAAAATAAAGTCTGCATGGCAGAGAGATATTTGCACCCCCATGTTCAATGCAGCATTATCCCCAGTTGCCAAGATATGGAATCAACTTAAGTGTCCATTAACAGACGAATAAATAATTAAGTTAAACTTAGATCTTCAAATAAGTTTCTTCACCACCTGGTCCTGGACTTACTTTTCATTAAATAACATTTATTTCCGAAAACCTTATTAGAAATTAGGCATTCTAAGGGAGGATATCTACAGCCCCTTGTTTTTAATTAGTAACACCTAGAGATTTATATTGGCACCTTCTGTTTTAGAGTGTTAACAGTTAAGAATACTTTGAGTTGCAGGTAATAGACTATATGGCTAAGAGTGTTTAATCAAGATGGGTTATTGTTCACATATAAAAATAGGTCTATAGATTGACAACTGTTGTCACTGAAGCACAGGGTCAGTGAGGTCAGTCATGAGTACTGTCCATAGTGCCCTTGCCCTTCCTTTCATGATTTGAAGATGTCTACAGAAGTTCATACCATTAATTCCTCACACAGTTGCTTTCAAACACTGGAAACAGACATCATATGCACCAGTGTCAAGCAGCCCTTCCTGTTTGGCCTCCCTTCCATCATGCCTCCCAAGAGCCTCAGTATGGTAAGCTTCACGATTTCTGTATAGGTTTCTGCATATAGAAGTGTATCTTAATTTTTTGAGATACAATATTAAAACTTAATCAAAAGCAAAACTAGATGATACAAGGACTTTGAGTTTCTTCTTTGTTATAAATCCTGATGTTAAAAAAAGATTATAAAAATTTTCACACATGCTCAAAAGTAGACTATAGTAATTCTTTTATATGCCCCTCACCTATATTCAACAATTATCAAGATATTGCAAAAGTTTGCTTCATCTGTCCTCTTATTTCCTTTTTCTTTTCCACTAACGTATTTTAAAGCAAGTCTCAGCATCATGTTATTTCACTCCTACATATTTCATTTATTTCTAAAATTTGTTGTTTTTTTTAGACACTCAGAATGCCATTCATAAATCTAAAAATTGTTTCCTGATTACTTCAAATACCTTTCTTTGTCATTCCCCTCACAGAAAGGTAGGGTCCTTTCTCCAATCTCTTGAATGTTGCTTCTTTGTGTATCATTTAACTTCCTCTTTTATCTCTGGAATACACTATACATGGAAATTAGCTCTTTCCTAAATGGAAATTGATTAGATTCTGAATCAACCTTAAAAGGTGCAAAAACTTTTTATAGGTATTGGGTACTGTACTTGGCATCATATCAGGAAGCACTCAGTATTTCCCCTATTTGTTAATACTAAGATAATTTTAACTATTAATTATCTTAACGTAAACTGCTTCATTAGGAGCCACAACAGAATGTTCCTTTTAATTTTAGAGGTGATCTCACATCAATTACCTAGAGAATTTGGTAAAGTAGAAATTTTTTCTAATCAATTAGTGACATGGTTAACCTAAAATACAGTTTATAGAGGAAAAACAATAATGTGACAATTTTCAAAAAAGTTGGTGCTGTATAAATTCATTGTCACATTGGCTATAAGAAACACCTGAGACTGGATAATTTATGAAGACAAAAGGAGGCTTAATTTACTCACAGTTTCACATGGCTGGTGAGACCTCAGGAAACTGACAATCATGGTGGAAGGCTATGGAGAAGCAAGCACCTTCTTCACAAGGCAGCAGGAGAGAGCAAGAGCAAAGGGGTAAGTGCTACTTTTAAACCATGGGATATTGGAGAGCTCATTCACTATCACAAGAACAGCATGGGGGAAACTGCCCCCCTGATATAATCACTTCCCAGAAGGTCCCTCCCTGGACATGTGAGAATTACAATTTTAGGTGAGATTTGGGTAGGGACACAGAGCCAAACCATGTCAGTGCTCTGGTCATTTTTTCAATTGCAACCAGTAAATTGCTTATTATTTTTTTCTCTTCATCATCTTTTTCCTCTTCCTATTTCTTTCTCTCCATCTCTCTGTATCCATTTCATGACCCTATGAGCTTATAGACTTTATATGTATAATGTGCTTCAATTTAATTCAAATTGAACATGCTTTAATTTAATTCAAAAGTATTAACATCCATATTTTTCACGATACTCAATTTTGTCTTTTATTTGGCCATTGATAGACTTTCAGCTAGTGTGTTTCTATGCCTCTTTGAACCAACTTACTGTTCTTTGAGTTTCTTGAATTCTAGCAACACAGGGTGTCTCAGCCTCATTTTGTAAGTTTTCTTACTGAGATCTAGAGTCAGCCATCCAAACAAAAAAGTCTAAAAGCTTTTAATAGAATATGAAAGGTCAAATGTATGTGCTATAGTATTTTGCTGTTCTTTGTTTGCTCTGATTCTCACTTCAGTGTCTTAAGAATATCACTTATTTCTCACATATACAGACTAATATATGTTTTAGAGAGCTTATTTCATAATAATAAAGAATAAGACAAGACCTTTGGTCAATATTGAATAAGTGATAATTTCTGATATTTCTTAATGTGCACTACTGTCATTTGGGAGGTGGTAGCTATTAGTAGAGATAATACTGCAGTAGCCAAATTTAAAAATCTTTGTAAACATTTATTTCCCCGTAGTTATTCTGCAACTTGAAATTTTTCTGACTTCTGTGCCTGGTAGAGGCTATACAAACAATAAAGTATCCGAATATTATTTTTGCAAAAGTTCGCTGACTTGTTTAACATTACTCCTGGATACCCATTCCCCAAAAGCCATTGCTTATTCAGAGAAGAGTTCTGGTAGCTACAACAATGGCCCATTGCATTTCCTAACAATCTTGTCTTCTCATATACTGAAAATCAACTACTGCATATCTATTTCCAATACCTTGTAAGAATTCCTGTACCTTGGAAGATGGCCATTACTTTTCATATCAACAAGTAGTTGTCACGACATTGTGCAAGCCCACAAGCTTTAGAGCCAAGAAGACCTGTGTGTGAATTCAACAACTTACTATGAAATCTTTGATAAGTCACTTAACTTCTCTAAATGTAAATTTCTATTTTTATATAAAAAGATAAACCTATCTTGAAACCTTTTATAAAAATTGATATCAATGTACATAAAGAAAATTTCAGGAGAAATTTAACAAACTGTTATGATACATTAGTGTGGTTATATTTCAATTAAAGTACATACCAAGAACAGACATTAAATTCCAGTCTGATTCAAAGGGAAGGAAAGAAGTGTGTCACAGCCAAAGTGTAGCAAAGTAAAAGCTACAAAAATCTGGATTCTATACCCAGCATTACATCAAAGGAATTCTGTTGTAAAGCCTTCCAAACTCAAAGGGTTTCATCTTCTTCATCTATAAAATGAAACAGATATAATTACTTTTTCTCAGCATTTGTCATGTACCAGCACAAAAAACAAATGTAAGGTACCTAAAGGACCCACTGGTAATCCCCAGGTTCCAAGAAGTTGACATATTAAAACATCCACAGCCATTCATAACATATCAGTATGTAACCACACACAGGTTGTGAAGCTCTGGTCTGGAAGACATCTGAAGTCCCTCTACCTCAAGGATATTTGTGATGGAAATGTAATATCATGGAATGGCAACATTAGAATAGGAAAGAGCGAACACTTTTCAATCTAGATAGAGGTCAATGTAATCTTTATATTCAAATCTTATAGATTGCTGCATAAAATTATAGCATAGACCTGAGACCTCACCGTATCCCCAGATAGTACATCCTAAAGTTAGATTGAAAAAATATAAATCATATTGTCCTTTTTATTGAGAAGGAATGGGTCTTAGTTTAATAAGAAATCATTTATTGTCCCAAGTCTAGTGCCAAAATTTCCTGAAGGGTAGATGTAAAGTTATGAATTTCATAGAAGCATAATTAACACAATCAGAAATATAATTAACTAAACACAAAAATATTTATCATTTTGGAAATAATTCATAGAAAGAATTAGAATCTTATCTATTATTTAGTAAACCTAAGTAATATTTTATCCTCGATTTTAAACATCTACTATCAAAGGAAGAGAGAGAGAGACAGAGTGAGAGAAAGGGAGAGAGAGAAAAAAGCTAACAACATGCACATTTTTGTGATAGACAATAAGTATCTTATCTTTCCGGAGACTGATTTTGAATGAACGTTAGAAATATATTTGTTAGATAAAGGTTTACAGAAATATGCTGCTTTCGAAATGCTGAAATTTCAAGCTTTATTTGGTGATGGCTTTCAGTATTTCTTGCAACCAAAATAGAATTTGACAAGGAATACCTTTTTGTTTGTTTTGTTTATTATACTTTAAGTTTTTGGATACATGTGCAGACGTGCAGGTTTGTTACATAGGTATAAATGTGCTATGGTGGTTTGCTACACCCATCACCCATCATCTACATTACATATTTCTCCTAATGTTATCCCTCCCCTTCACCCCCACCCCACATCAGGCCCCCACCTCCAGTGATGTTCCCCTCCATGTGCCCATATGTTCTCATTGTTCAACTCCCACTTATGAGTGAGAACATGCAGTGTTTGGTTTTCTGCTCTTTGTTAGTTTGCTAAGAATGATGGTTTCCAGTTTCATCCATGTCCCTGCAAAGGACATGAACTTACTATTTTCTATGACTGCATAGTATTTCATTGTGTTTATGTGCAACATTTTCTTTATTCAGTCTAACATTGATGGGCATTTGGGTTAGTCCCAAGTCTTTGCTATTGTGAACAGTGCTGCAATAAACATATGTGTGCCTGTGTCTTTGTAGTAGAGTGATTTATATTCCTTTGGGTATATACCCATAATGGGATTGCTGGTTCAAATGGTATTTCTAGTTCTAGATTTTTGAGGAATCACCACACTGTCTTCCGCAATGCTTGAACTAATTTACACTCCCACCAACAGTGTATAAAAGCATTCCTATTTCTCCACATCCTTTCCAGCATTTGTTGTTTCCTGACTTTTTATGATCATCATTCTAACTGGCGTGAGATGCTATCTCAATGAGGTTTTGATTTGCATTTCTCTAATGACCCGTAATGATGAGCTTTTTTTCATGTTTGTTGGCCACATAAATGTCTTCTTTTGAAAAGTGTCTGTTCCTCTTGTTTGCCCACTTTTTGATAGGGTTGTTTTTTTGTTTGTAAATTTGTTTAACTTCCTTGCACATTCTGGATATTAGCCCTTTGTCAGATAAATAGATTGCAAAATTTTTCTCCCATTCTGTAGGTTGCCTGTTCACTCTGATGATCATTTCTTTTGCTGTGCAGAAGCTCTTCAATTTAATGAGATCCCATTTGTCAATTTTGCCTTTTGTTTCCATTGCTTTTGGTGTTTTAGTCATGAAGTCTTTGCCCATGCCTATGTCCTGAATGGTAATGCCTAGGTTTTCTTCTAGGGTTTTTATGCTTTTAGGTCTTACATTTAAATATTTAATCTAGCTTGAGTTAATTTTTGTGTAAGGTGTAAGGAAGGAGTCCAGTTTTAGTTTTCTGCATATAGCCAGCCAGTTTTCCCAACACCATTTATTAAATAGGGAATCCTTTCCCCATTGCTTATTTTTGTCAATTTTGTCATCAGATGGATGTAGATGTGTGACGTGCTTTCTGAGGCCTCTGTTCAGTTTCATTTGTCTATATATCTGTTTTGGTACCAGTACCATCCTATTTTGGTTCCTGTAGCCTTGTAGTATAGTTTGAAGTCAGACAGTGTGATGCCTCCAGCTTTGTTCTTTTTGATTAAGGTTATTTTGGCTATACAAGCTTTTTTTTGGTTCTATATGAAATTGAAAGTAGTTTTTTCTAATCCTGTGAAGAAAGTCAATGGTAGCCTGATGGGCATAGCATTGAATCTATACATTACTTTGGGCAGTATGGCCACTTTCATGATATTGATTGTTCCTACCCATGAGCATGGAATCTTTTTCCATTTGTTTGTGTCTCTCTTATTTCTTTGTAGTTCTCTTTGAAGAGGTCCTTCACATACCTTGTAAGTTGTATTTCTAGGTAATTTCTTCTAACTCATTTTGTGAAGGCAGCATCATCCTGATACCAAAACCTGGCAGAGACACAACAAAAAAGAAAATTTCAGGCCAGTATCACTTAAGAATATCAATGAAAATCCTCAATAAAATACTGGCAAATTGAATCAAAAAGTACAGTAAAAAGTCTATCCATCACGATCAAGTCAGCTTCATCCCTGGGATGCAAGTCTGGTTCAGCATATACAAATCAATAAACATAATCTATCACATGAGTTAGGTGTATGTTTAACTTTTGTACATATTAGGAAATCATTTTCTAGAGTGGTTGCATCCCATCAACAATGAAGGAGAATTCCAGCTGCTTCATATCACCATCAAACGTTGGTATTGTTCATCTTTAGTTTTTTGTTCTGATGAGTGTGTCTTAACCTGGGCTTTACCAATATTGAGGCCCTGTTCATATAATTCTTAGCCATTTTGACACTGTGAAGTGTGTGTTTAAATTGACCAAACATTTCAAATTAAGTTTGAAATGCCTTTTTTTTATTTGTAGGAGTCCCTTATTCTGTTGATGAGTAATTTGACAAACACACACATGTTACAAAAATCTTTTCCCAGCCTCTGGCTTAACTTCTCATCCTCTTAATTTTATCACTTTATAAACAAAAGTTCTTAACTTCAGTGTAATCCAATTTATTGATCATTTTTTATTTTTCACATTTTTTGTTAAGAAATCCTTACTCATTTTGAAGTCATAAACATATTCTCCATGTTTTATTTTAGAAGCTTTATTGATTTAGCTTTTACACTTTAGGTTTATGATGCATCTCGAATTCATTTCTGTGTTTAATATGAGGTAGGAGTTAAGGTTATTTTTTGTTTTTCACTGATATATCCAATTAACCTGGCACAATTTATTAAGAAGACCATTGATTCCTATAGAAATGCAATATGACACTCTTTTCATATCAAGGCATTATTTTAGTGTGGATATATTTTTGGAATATCCATAATTCCACTGCTCTATCTTTGTGCAAATATTATACCTTCTTGATTACTACAGCTTTAGAATAAGTCCTCCTATATGTTATGGCTCTGCTTTATTTCCTTGGTAATATCTTGGCTATCTTACATTCTTAAGTATATATTTTGAAAGCATTAGATTAAAAATATATGAGAAAGTTTGAGTTTTATTTAGCCACTGACTACACATGACCTCATGAAAGACAATTTAACTTCCCTCTTTGTTTCCTCATTTGTAAAATCTGTAGTGCTTGAATTAGACAATCCCAAAGACTCTTGCATGTATGATTTTCTATCCCAATTCACACAGAAAGGGAAGGCAACTAACATTCATAAATAAATCACAGAAAACCTCCAATGAAAAGATGATGGCCTAAATGCAGACACATTTTTTTCTTCACAAATTATATTCCACATTTAAAATAATGCATTTTGAAGCTGGGTTTAGAGACCACTTCTTTAATATAACATCAACAGATTTGCAAATTCGTGGTATTTCTAATTGCCTCTTTAAAATGACAAAACAAATTGCATTGCTTTTATTGGAAGTAAAATTTTGATACTATTGAAAACATTGGCCAACATATATTTCTCTATTACTAGTACATAAATGAAAGCCTGCAGCAACTGGCATCACTTTACCTCTCTAAATAGAATCTTTAACCTCAAACCCACTGTCTCCATTATACCAGGCTTATACCACAACATTACGCTTTGTTTTGCTCTCAAAATTATCCTAATTTCTCTTGCCTAAAATATTCTCCCACTTTATTTTCAACATTTTGCACTTAACAATTTCTTTATAAATCACATCTGCCTGTCTTTCTTAACTTTTTCTACTCTTTTTGTTACTTTGTGCTCATCTGCCTGCACTGCATTATCTAGTCTATGTCTACACACAAATTTATTAAACATTTTATTCTCATCTCCCCACTTAGATTCTAAGCTTCTTCTATTTTGAATGGTCAGATGTGAAATACTGAGTTTAGTATTATGCAAGTACACCTAGGTCGTTGGGAGCAAGACTTAGGTTGTGAGTGTCTTCTCTCTGCCAGTCATGTGTTCTCTCATTTCACAATAGCCCTGTGGTGTATATTAGTCTCATTTTTAAAATAAGGAAATGATGTTTATTAAAATTAGGTAACATGCTTACTGTCACTTGTAGCATCTGAGCCTTTTCTTCCATCATGGAAATAGGGATGCTAACAAATTGTCTCAGAAGGCATAGCTGACCATTGGGACGGGGAGGACAAGGTCCTACAAGGCACTGTCTAGGAACAAAGGAGTGCTTCTCATCATAGACAAGAGGCAGTAGGGCCAGAAAAGCAGACTAAGCAAGAGGTGATACAATGAGGTCAAGATCTAGGCTGAGAAGTGTAAGATAGATGCCAAAGCCAGAGGAGCAGAGAGTGAAACAGGAGATAAGATGGAACAGAGCCTGGTTTGAAATGCAGAGATTGTATTGAAAGAGGGAGGATGTACAGCAACAGAAAAGGCAGCAGGTGATTGACAGGCATTTGCTGGATACAAATATTAATGAATAAATGAATAACTTATAAAGGATAAATGAGAGAGAGGCAACAAAACCGTATTTAAACATTTGCAATCTGGGTAACTGACAAATTATTAGTACAATTTAATAGAATTAGAGAATTCAGAAAAAAAAATGGAAGCTTGAGTAGTGGATATTGAAATGCATTTTGGACAGGGGAAATCCAGCCATGAATGTTTAACAGGCAATTGAAATGTATGAAGCTCAGAAGAAAAGTTGATACTGGAGTTTGCAGCTTACAAAATGCTTTACAATGTTTTACCTTATTCTCTAAAATAACTAATAAAGAAACTGAGATTGAGAAAAGTTGAGTGACTTGCCCAAAGTGGCACAGTTAACGGGTGGACAATCTAGAAATCAAATTCGGGCTCCTTACCGTAAAGTTCAGTGTTCCTTTATTACATTTTACTGCCTTTCATATAAGAATGAGCAAATCATCCAAAATAAAGAGGGTGTCAGATAATATGATTCTATTCGGGCTGCAAATACGATAATGCCTTATGCTAACGTGCATAGCTTCAAGTGACAATGAACTGAAATTTATCAAAAACAAGTTGACCTCCCTCTTGGTTAAGGATCTTTTTTCATTCATTCCAAGAGTTGCTTGCTTATTGCAATGGGCCTGCTGGTGTGGACATAGCTGACAGCATCATCAGCTGCCAAAAAAGTAAATGTGCTGGAAGCTGTTAAGTGGATTAAAACTTTGTGCCACCAAGTAATGCCCAATAACATAGTCTGAAATTCCACCTCAGCCAAAGATGTTCCTAAAAACCATAAAACAAAAAGCAGAAGAAAGAACATTCTAGGAGAATTTATGAGATAGAAGATCCAAAGTAATTATACAATAGACAAGAGAAGAAAACAAATATTTGAAAATTTGTGAAATAGCTGGAAGCCAAAATTGAGAAAAGAAAAATCTCTGTGAGAACTGCTAGTTTTATAAAATATTCTGAGAGTTTAAGAAAGGGTAAATTAAATAAATTATGCATTAGTTATAATTCTGCTGCTGAGCTGGTATCCTTATTTTCTCCAAATTCCATCAATCAGTCAAAGGAAGTCACAGTGGAAGGTCAGAATCAAGGAATCTGGTCAGATTCAAAGTCACATTGCAACTGATGTAGACACAGACAGCAAGAACAATTGCAGTCATTTTGTTGTCAGCCTATTACTACAAATAACCAGTGGTTTGACTTCAAGAAGTTCATCTCTCTTGGCCTAAGTTTTTGTTGTTGTTGTTTTAGATGGAGCCTTACACAGTGACCAGGCTGGAGTACAGTGGTGCAATATCAGCTCACTGCAACCTCTGCCTCCTGGGTTCAAGCATTCCCCTGCCTCAGCCTCCTGAATAGCTGGGACTACAGGCACGTGCCACCGTGCCCAGCTAATTTTTGTAATTTTAGTAGAGACGGGGTTTCACTATTTTGCCCAGGAGGTCTTGATCTCTTGACCTCCTGATCCGCCTGTCTCCCAAAGTTCTAGGATTACAGGCATGAGCCACCGTGCCCAGCCAGTCTCTTTATCTCCAAGATACAGTTTAGGACTTGCTCTGTAGGATTCCTTACAGTCCTCTATTCCTAAGGCAACAGCTTTCAAAACTGCCTTACAGGCAAATTAGAGAACGTTTTTGTATCTCAAAAAAAAAAAAAAAATCTACAAACAACATGACATGTAGTTACTTCACTATGTGTAAATCCACTTATTAAAGGCAAAAATGCCATATAGAACATAAAAAGTGAAATAGGAAGATGAAATAAAGTTAAATGACATCAAGTTACTACTGCAAGTTGCAAATGATTGATGATTTCTTGTTTAGCTGTTTGCCAACACTAAACTGAACTGTCCACTTCATGGCCTAAATGGCCCAGCTTGGCACTGGATCATAACCAATATTCCACTTTATAGATTTTTCTGCATCAATAATTCAGGGTGTGAAAGTGATCAATATTAGAATTACTCAGACTGTTACTATCATTTAAATTAAATGGTTAATTGCTTCATCTTCTATTTCACCTGGACCATAAAGATTCAACTGATTTAATGAAGCTTAAACTTTAGCCAAGCAGACAGTAGGTGAAGGAAGTCAGTCACCAGCCAACAGTGCTTTCTATTTTTATATACAGATAAGCAAACTCTTATTAGAAACCCCAACTGCCAGAGAAGACAAAATGCTTTACTTCTCTCTGACTGATGGGGAAAAGTGGCTAAGATAGAAAGTGTTATTGTCCAGAAAAAAAAAAGAACAAAATTTCTATGAATGCTAAGGGAAAAAAAACCATAAAGATTTAGTACCTTTTCTTTGGTTTCACTTGCAAATATCTGTATGCACTGTTTTTCCTCAGGATACACAGTTGAAATGTCAAATTACTGGAATCTGGAGATTACTTTGATTAAATTTTGCCTTGCATAAAGCAGGCTAAAAGAAGTTAACCCTAATGGCCTCCACCAATAAGAAAGAATCTACCTGAATTTAGCACACATGGAAACTTGTAATGCTCTACA